ATACTCATCCGTGAGGTGACTCCCGAAATTATACACCAGGTCCAGGTGCCTCCTCCTCCATCTCCCACCCAACATTCCCATCTCCCACCCATCATTCCCATTCCCATTTTCCCTGCAGATTCCCATTCCCATTCCCTCACCGGGCCGATACTCATCCGTGAGGTGACTCCCGAAATTATACACCAGGTCCAGGTGCCTCCTCTCCTGCAGCCGGTTGCCGACCTCCCGGAAGGCCTCCTGGGCCAGGCTCTCCATGTGCCTGCGGGCCAGCCCCAGGCGGTGCCGCTGGCTGGCGGCGCGGATCTCCCGCAGGATGTCCGAGTAGTCCGGGAAGGCGTCGGGCCGGTTGATGAGGCGCTGGATGCGCCGGTTCACCTCCGGGTAGCGGGTGCCGCGGAAGCGGATCCGCTGCTCCAGCACCCGGCCCGTCAGCTGGCTGCACTCCTTCAGCTGGCACAGGCGCCGGAAGATCCGCATCATCCGCCGCTTCAGCCGGTTCTCCTGAGGGGGAAAAGGGGAAAATCTGAGGGGAAAATGAAAAATCTGAGGGGAAAATGGGGGAAAAATGAAGGGTTTTGAGGCCCGTCAGGTGGCACAACCGGAGGAAGATCCGCATCATCCGCCGCTTCAGACGGTTCTCCTGAGGGGGAAAGGGGAAAATCTGAGGGGAAAAGTGAAAAATCTGAGGGGAAAAGTGAAAAATCTGAGGGGAAAATGGGGATTTGTGTGGGAAAAATGGGGATTTGTGAGGGAAAATGGGGATTTATGAGGGGAAAATGAGAGGTTTTGAGGCCCGTCAGGTGGCTCAGCTGGAGGAAGATCCGCATCATCCGCTGCTTCAGACGGTTCTCCTGAGGGGGAAAGTGAAAAATCTGAGGGGAAAAGTGAAAAATCTGAGGGGAAAAATGAAAAATCTGAGGGAAAAATGGGGATTTGTGAGGGAAAACTGAAAAATCTGAGGGGAAAATGGGGATTTATGAGGGGAAAATGAGGGGAAAATGAGGAGTTTTGAGGCCCATCAGGTGGCACAGCCGGAGGAAGATCCGCATCATCCGCCGCTTCAGGCGGTTCTCCTGAGGGGGAAAGGGGAAAATCTGAGGGGAAAAGTGAAAAATCTGAGGGAAAAATGGGGATTTGTGAGGAAAAACTGAAAAATCTGAGGGGAAAATGGGGATTTATGAGGAGAAAATGAGAGGTTTTGAGGTCCGTCAGGTGGCACAGGCGGAGGAAGATCCGCATCATCCGCCGCTTCAACCGGTTCTCCTGAGGGGGAAAAGGGGAAAATCTGAGGGGAAAAGTGAAAAATCTGAGGGGAAAAGTGAAAAATCTGAGGGGAAAATGGGGATTTGTGAGGGAAAATAGGGATTTATGAGGAGAAAATGAGAGGTTTTGAGGCCTGTCAGGTGGCACAGGTGCCGGAAGATCCGCATCATCTGCCGCTTCAGCCGGTTCTCCTGAGGGGAAAAGGGGAAAATTTGAGGGGAAAAGTGAAAAATCTGAGGGGAAAAGTGAAAAATCTGAGGGGAAAAATGAAAAATCTGAGGGGAAAAGTGAAAAATCTGAGGGAAAAATGGGGATTTGTGTGGGAAAATGGGGATTTCTGAGGGGAAAATGAGAGGTTTTGAGGCCCGTCAGGTGGCACAGCTGGAGGAAGATCCGCATCATCCGCCGCTTCAGCCGGTTCTCCTGAGGGGGAAAGGGGAAAATCTGAGGGGAAAAGTGAAAAATCTGAGGGGAAAAGTGAAAAATCTGAGGGGAAAACGGGGATTTGTGAGGGAAAAATGGGGATTTGTGAGGGAAAATGGGATTTGTGAGGGGAAAATGAGAGGTTTTGAGGCCCGTCAGGTGGCACAGGCGGAGGAAGATCCGCATCATCCGCTGCTTCAGACGGTTCTCCTGAGGGGGAAAGTGAAAAATCTGAGGGGAAAAG